ATCAATTTCTAATTTCTTCTCCTGAGGACCAATGTCATGAGATTCTTTGACTTCTTCTACCTTGGGCTTCTCGACTTGTGGAGATTGAGTTTGTAAACGAAATGCGAAAGTACACTTGTCTGAAGCTTTTGGGTTGAGTAAGTCTTTGGTAGAAAAGAGAGGAAAACTTAGATCTATTTCTGTCAAAGCACCAGACAGAGTTTGGGGGTTTGGGATGTTGGCCTTGTTTCCCTCAGGAAGGAAGGCTGCCAGGAAACAGCAAGCCTTCGAAGAGAGAAATGTGGGGGTTGAATTTATCGCTCTTACTTTTTTCATTCATTCATGTAGCACACATTTACCCAAGGCCTATGATATGCCAGCTCGGTGCTAGATGCCAGACACCATGGTGGAGACCACCCAGCCCAGACCCGGGGAGGTGAGGGCTGACACACCAGCCACATGCCAATAACGAGTGTGGCTGCTAATTCAGGTAATTGAAAAAATCGGCTAAAATGGGGAGTCGTTAATAAAGTAAACATACCTTAAACATGTTATTTTAACTTAAAACATAAATGTGTCTTAAGACACCACGTTAAATGTAGAGCAAGGTCTTTGTGAGTGGGTCTGATGATGGCCCCATGATAGTTTTTGCTCAGAGCACATTCATAATTTATTACCTATAATTTCAATTTTTGGCAACTTTTAAACAGTCTGGGCATAGAATTAAGAGTTTTAAAATTTTTCTATATATTCCCCTATCTTTTATGTATGTTTGGTGAGCATTTAGTTCCAAGCACTGTTTTTTAAAAAGCGGTTTTCTTATTGGGTCTTCTTTTTCTTTTTTTCCAGGTCTGTCTTACTTTTTTTTTTTACATTCAATATTATTTTATATTAATTTCAGGTGTACAGCATAGTGGTTAACATTTACATAATTTAGGAAGTGATTCCCCTGACTAGTCTAGTACCCACCAGACACTAGACACAATCATTACCATTATTGGGTCTTCTAAAAGCATTCAAAGTGTAATTAAAATTCTTAAAGCATTAGTTTTCTTAGCAACAACAGTTTCTTTTTATCTTCTTTTTTGTCCATTTTTTTAAACAATTGAATTTTGGAACCAAGGATAACTGAGGAACAGTGTCCCTTCCAGTGACCCTTGGTGGATGTCTGACAGCTGGTGGGAGCGGCAGTGGCCAGAGCAGTGGGGAGGCGTTCCTAGCCCGAATCAGCCCCGAAGCGTCACAGGGACGGGGTGGCCCCGGTTCCTTTGGCAACTAGGTTGGGGTGGGGGTCAGTTAGGAGAGCTTAGATGTCCCACCGTTGAGGTCAGCACAGCGTTGGAGGAGGCCATTGAGGGGACGCGACTGCTGGTTGACCCAGGAGCTGGACCCGGGCTCTGGGGGGCTCCCCCTCCCTTGTCCCTGGGACACACTTTTGGCCCACTGTTACCACAGCTGGAGCTGTTTTCAAGGACCCAGCCTTGAGAGAGCCACGTGCTGTGAGACCATTTGGGCAGGGAACAGGCTGAGCCTGGGCAAGCCTTCTCTATAAACGTCAAGATCCTGATGGGCGGCTGTGGAGATCCACTCGTCTGGCGGTCGCCCACGATGAGCCTTGTGAGTAAGTTCCCTTGCTTATGACACCTGCCACTTACCCGTCTGGAGTGGCTGCCTCGTTCTTCAGCCTCTCCCTGCCCTCTGTGTACCGGGGCAGTTTCTAATTTCATCTGGGGTGCTCCTGCGTTTGCAAACCAACACACAGGATGCCAGCAGAGCTCCCCGGAGAGGCCTTCGCCTGGCCTTGAGGTTGAGGAGACTTCTGGGAGAAGTTAAGNATCTTCTTTTTTGTCCATTTTTTTAAACAATTGAATTTTGGAACCAAGGATAACTGAGGAACAGTGTCCCTTCCAGTGACCCTTGGTGGATGTCTGACAGCTGGTGGGAGCGGCAGTGGCCAGAGCAGTGGGGAGGCGTTCCTAGCCCGAATCAGCCCCGAAGCGTCACAGGGACGGGGTGGCCCCGGTTCCTTTGGCAACTAGGTTGGGGTGGGGGTCAGTTAGGAGAGCTTAGATGTCCCACCGTTGAGGTCAGCACAGCGTTGGAGGAGGCCATTGAGGGGACGCGACTGCTGGTTGACCCAGGAGCTGGACCCGGGCTCTGGGGGGCTCCCCCTCCCTTGTCCCTGGGACACACTTTTGGCCCACTGTTACCACAGCTGGAGCTGTTTTCAAGGACCCAGCCTTGAGAGAGCCACGTGCTGTGAGACCATTTGGGCAGGGAACAGGCTGAGCCTGGGCAAGCCTTCTCTATAAACGTCAAGATCCTGATGGGCGGCTGTGGAGATCCACTCGTCTGGCGGTCGCCCACGATGAGCCTTGTGAGTAAGTTCCCTTGCTTATGACACCTGCCACTTACCCGTCTGGAGTGGCTGCCTCGTTCTTCAGCCTCTCCCTGCCCTCGTGTACCGGGGCAGTTTCTAATTTCATCTGGGGTGCTCCTGCGTTTGCAAACCAACACACAGGATGCCAGCAGAACTCCCCGGAGAGGTCTTCGCCTGGCCTTGAGGTTGAGGAGACTTCTGGGAGAAGTTAAGTCTCTGATGTGAGGGGGCGTTCGTAGCATAAGCACTGTGAGGATGCAGGCGAGAGGGGGAGCAGGCCAGTGGCGACAGGTGGCTCGGGAGAGGCAGGCAGGGCTAGACTGTTCCTTATTCACTCATTCAGTAAAGGTCTATTGTGCATCTCCGTGCCAAGAGCTGTCCTAGTGTCAGGGGTGCCAGAGTCTGTGCTGTCCATTTAGTAGGGGGACAGATGCTAAATAAGTGAGCAGATAAAAGCTTCATGTGCCAGCTGGCTAGGAGTGCGCCAGCGAGACGGAGGGGAGATGACGTGAGCGTGCGTGTGTATGTGTGCTTATGCACATGCTGGGTTATACACAGAAGCCAAGGAAATTATTTCTGAGTAGGTTACATTTAAGCCGAGACCTGGATAAAGTGAAGGAGCAGATAGGTCGTGGGGATACTGGAGCAGAGAGTGCTCTGGGCAGAGGGACGAAGTTTCGAAGGCTCTGTGGCAGGGACGCTTGGCCCATTTGATGACTAACAAACAGGCCAGTGTGTCCGGAGAGGAAAAGTGAAGCCTTCCCAGCCACAGGAGGAATGTGGGCAGGGGTGTGTGGGGTGTGTGTGGGGGGTATGTGACCATTTGTATTAAATCGAAGTTCATTCTCCAATTGGAAGCCCCGCCCTGGGTGTGTGACAGCAGAGTCCTGAAAGGCCTTAATTTCCCAAACGAAGCACAAATCATGCATGCCCACATCCATCATGCAACATGACAACCGAGCGCTGATTGTCACAGGTATGTGCAGCCCGGAGGGCACAGAAATACGAGGAGCAGACAGGTGTAGCATGCTAAGTGTAATAGACATTGGTTATGTTTTTGGTTGCTGAGCATCTGAGATCCCCACCTTATTTGGGGGGACCCCATTGTATGAGTCTTGGTGGGAGGCAGTGCCCTCCCCCTATAGAAACGGAAGTGGCGATGCCTTCTCCTCCCTGCCTCCTTGGCCCCCACCTGTTCTCCTGACACACTAGCCTTTTTCTGCTCATTGAACATGCCAAGTGGATGAGCCCCGGGTTTGGCCTGAGAGGTTCTGGGCAGCAGTCTGACTTGTGTCACACAGTGGCTGGGTGATCTCAGGCAAGTCACTCGGCCTCTCTGAGCCTCAATCTCTTTATGCTATTTCACAGGGGTATGAAAGTTAATTTGAATCAGACGGCACACGTGAAAGCACCTAGCTCACAGCAATTACTCCGTAAGAGTTAGGTCAGGGGCCTAAGCTGGCGATGGAGGACGGGAGCACTTCCTTGCGGCTGTGTCCTGACTCAGTGAGAAAAAGCGCCGTGATTGAGTAGGTACGTCTGCCGTTGATGCCGCTGCCATTTCTCTGTTACTTGGATCTAGGAATCTGAAAGGTATTCCATATGGTGGTTTTGAGTTTCCGAATTAAGTAGCCTGATGGCGTAGGCTCTTGGCTCAAGCCTTCCATACTTAGACCCCCAATACTGGCAAGCCCCACAATGGGTGAATCTTAATAGCTGGACCTCAAATGCCTCCAGTAGCTGGTAAAGGGGCTATTTCTTTCCCAGACCTTATGTTAACAATGACTTCTTGGAGCCCCCCCAAATCTAGGTGTGATCCTTTCCCGTGTGGTCCCATAGCATCCACTTCCCACCACATCACTTAACCAGCCTGTATGCGAACTCCTTGCTTTGTCTGTCCTCACCACCCCTCCCACCTGCTGTCCCCCATCCCCCGAAGTGATAATCCGGGGGAGATCCAAGACTGTGTCTGTCTTGCCCCCTATTTTATCCCCAGCAGCCAGGACCTTACTAGCCTGGGAGGTGTTCAAGTGAGGAAACAAGCGTTTCCGACTCCTTTATGGACATGGCAGAGATGAGAACCAGCGAGACACACACAGGGGAGCCCGTCACGGATGGACAACGGTGGAGAGGTCCTTACTTCCACGTTTCTTCATAAGCCACAGGATTGCTTTCTTGTAGTTTTTAAAATTTTTCTTCATCCTAAAAGGAATGTGAATGATCTTTAAAAGCTGAGACTCAACTCACGTTTCCCTGCTGTGCTACACAGTGTGGACAGTTCTAGCACCCGCTGAGTCTTTTCCGTAGGTGTCAAGTGGGGCTGATGGTGGTGTTGGCCCCAGCTTTCCTTCCAGTCAGCTCTCAGGAATAGAGACAGCACGTGGTAGCGACTCAGTGCTTCCCTCCTGGCCTCTAACTGGCCTTCAACATGGACACCTGGGCTGACCCCCAAACCTCTTATAGTAATTCCAGCGAGGGTCACCTTGGGGGCTGGGAGGGGGCCGGGAGGTCCAGATTCAAGGCTGGCTCTAGGAGGTAAGCTCACGCAGCTTCATCTCTCTGTGCGTATCCCAGCGAGGGTTATGTTTGGAAATGGCTTGGAAAGACAGTATTGTTTGTGAACTGGACAGAGCCACTTAAAATCCATCTGCATTGAGTAGGATCATTTCCCATAGTCTCACTCAAAATGGCTTACCATGGAAGCCACACAGAGGCTCAGCTTTAAAAATAATCAAGCCCTGAACCCCCTCTCATGTCAGTACACAAAGCGAGGCACCCCGGTTTTTCAATGGCTTGGACGGTTGTATTTCCAGATAAAGGTGATCTCCAGGGGGAGCTGTGACAGAAGGAGTGAGCTTCCCAGGCTTAATTAGACATGAGAAGGCCTTTGCCATGACAAGTTTGAAGTTCTCAGGTCAGATTCTTTGAAGAGAGTGTGATAATTTAATCCCACGCAATGCCAGGAAGCAAACCCTCTTTGCTGGGAAGGGCTGAACTATTTTTACCTGGCAAAGAGCTGTTTGTACTTTACTGTTTGTACTTCAGAAGCCATAGGGGGACTTGAGACTGAGCCCTTCACGGCCCGTTTGTACCAAACGTTTGTTTTGTTTGCTAGCACTGAATGGAATGGAAGCGTGACCTCGCCTTCCATCGTCTGTGAAAGAATGAGAACCCAAGAGTGGGTGGACGAGGCCAAGAGCAGGTGCCAGATACACGCAAGAGTAAAAACTCCAGCGAGGGCATCCAGCCACAGGACCCCACGCCCTCTTAGGAAGGTTTCTCCCTGGGTTCTTCGACCACCTTTGCAGCTAGTGGAACCCTTACCAGCCAGCTCCCGATGGCAGAGACTCGGGGGCACACACGGCTGTAAAGAGCAGCACAGAGTAGGGAGCTATTTCTCGGGTGCAATCAGAGTAGGAAAATGTTTCTCAAGTGCAACCAGGTTAGAATGAGCCTCGGTTACAGGCTAAGTGGGAAGGAATGGGGGAAATGGCACACGGGAGGCAGAGGAACTTACTGGGGTGTTATTGGGCGTTTGTTTTCGCGGCTGTGTGAGTATCTGAATGCTTGGGTGTTCTTTACGTTTTGCATTGTGTATTTTGTCTTCCTCTTTCCTAAAGAAGCTTCAGGGGTCCCTGGCCCCAGGACGCTACTGAGCCCAAAGACGAAGTTGTTGGCGGTCAGCCTCTCTTCCTGATTTTGGGGAAGCCTCAACTCGCCCAGGAGGGTATGCAGGGCACCCCACCCCCCACAGCCTCTTCCTTGGCGCCCCCGCCAGAGAGTCTGCGAGCGAGCCACAGGAGGCCTGGACATGCACCTTGCTTGCCAAGGTTTCTGACAGCCGGATGAGTGAACATCCAGGCTTCCATGCGCCACGGGCTGGCTGTACAAATGGGGTCCGGAACATTTTGTGACCTGGGGCCATGCCACCTCAAAAGGCTTCGTGCCAGCCATAGCTGGCAGTCACCTTATCATTCCTCAACCCAAAAACGGGCTCTGGCCATGACTCCCAGGTCAGTGAAGCTCATGGCTTCGCCCTCCCCCAGGGAGCACGGAAACGCATTAGCTTAGCCTAGGGTGAAGCTGGGGAATTTCTTGGGCAGATGCCCGGCTCTTGATCCCCCATTGTCCTCTTTCTTCAAAAGCCCAGGGGTCTGAGCCTTGCTCCCTAGACTTTTGTACAAGTTCACGGTCCCTTCAAGGCTTTTCGTGCCCTGGACTTCGAGCCTCGGTCACTGCCTGCCTCTGACCCCACCTTGGCCCTCTCACGCTAGCAGAGCTCCTTGTCCTTGAGTTTCAACAGCCAGATCGTTTTGTCCACTGGACCCCTACCTTACCCTTGTCCTCGTGCCTGGCTTGTGCCTCTTTGACTCAGGGGACCTGCCTGGCCCTGGCTTTGCTCTTTTCTCTGGTGGCCCAGCTTACACTTTCCCTGCTGCTACCTGTTGCCTACCTGCACCCACTGACCAGTGCCTCTGTCTCTCCCATCACTTACAGAAGTCCCAGTTTCCTTCTGGCTTCACTCCCCAGGGGGCCAGTCAGGGGGACGTCAGTATCCTCTTCCCGTTCACTGCGAGCAGCCATTTCTTCCATCATGGTCCGAAGCGCTGACTGACAGGAGCTGCTAAGAAGCTACAAAAGGATCCCAGAGGAAAATACCCAGGAAATGAGAATTAACGCTTTCTAATTAATCACTTTCCTGACGCCCAGAGGTGCCAGGTGAGATTTCAACCTATTATTCAAAAACCACAACAGCAGGAACAGCGGGGTGGCTAGCAAGGTTTGTTTTAAAGAATATTTTCATTATTATCATACTCTCTACTCTCCAATTCCCTGAAGAATTTTTATTTTAATAGCAGCATACCAAGAAATCTTTTGAGAGCATAAAATTACCTTCTTTTTCCAAATGTGGAGATGGCTATATAAAGTAAAAATGCATCCAGGCTTTAAGAGCGTAAGAGGCTTTCTGAGTTCCAGGAATGGCTAAGCTCCCAGCGGCTGCTGATTTATTCAGTGTGCAGAATGACTGTCTTTGGGAGAGCATTGTAGCACCAAGCACCTTACTGTAGGGGACAATTCTGTGTTTAAAGATTCTTCTGGAGTAAGGACATTGCAAACCGCCTTTTTCATTTTGTAAAATTGATCACTGTACCCCAAGTCCACGATGCTAAGCAGGACTGACCCATTGGTGGGTCCTCCTAAGAATTGCTTTTGGTGGAAGGTGGAAGTTAGCTTGCTGTTGAGGAACGCCGTGGATCTGTCATGGTGCCCTGCGGGTGGAGGCTGTCAATATTGTTGTTCAACATCTGATAATGTGTAATGTGCCATTAACTTAACAGTTTCCTATAGTAAGTAGAAGGGCAACAGATCCGCAGTTGCATGTGACCTGGGACAGGTGTAAGAATGAAGCTTGGGGTTGGCTAGTTTTTCTAGGACGTGGGGAAAGCTGGGGTGCCTCAGGCCTGGCTTGTCTGAGCCCCGGCCTCTGCACTGCTCCTTTGCCCATTGCTGGTGTTAAATTAATTAGACAAGGAGGCCATTAGACTGACGTGGCTCTAGGCTGTGATGACCTATGTAAGTAAACCAATATCTAAGCCTGTCAATGCCTCAGGCTTTGAAACCTAAGGACACTCAGTCACAAGCGGCCAACTAGCTTTACCCTGTGGCCAATCGATAACTTCCTTGCTTTTGCTTCTACCTTTTCTCTATAAAAGCCTCTCCCCAGCTCCTGTGGGCGGAGTGCTCCTAACCACTTCTGGTTTGGTGATGGCCAATTCCAATTGATACATGCTCAAACAAACTCTTAAAATGTGTAATATGCCTCAGTGTATCTTTTAATAAACTGAGAATCAGTGTTTCAGGCCAGGTTGAGGTCAAGGCCGGTGGTACCCTGCCTCTAAAGCCCTCAGGTTTGGCAATCCCTCCCTTAGGATGCAGCAACTTCCTATTTGCCGAGACCGGTGATCTCACATTATCCTCTTTGGATTCTGTGTTTTGTTCCCCACAGTGGTCCACCAGACAACAGACCCACTGGGTGGGCCTTGTTAAGTTCTCATCCCATCTAGGCTGTGCCAGCCCACTCGATGTAGCCAGCACACATGACATCTTATGAGGTTTATCCCATTTGCTTCCCCAGCCTATAGAGTAGAACTACCCTCATCGTCATGATAGGTGTATGGGCACCCCAGGGATGAGTTCTCCCATGCCCAGAGACTCCTCCTGGGTGAATCTGGTTCTTGTAATCAAGAGTTTGCACAGCAGGCTTTGTGATGCATGGGTGTGTCGTAGACACAACACAAGCGTGTTTAGTGAACTAAAAGCAGTAAAGAAGTCGAATTGTCAGAATAACCAGTCTCAGTTGACAGCCGCCATCCATGGGAGGACTGAAGCTCCCTTCCTGCTGTTTGTACCCCTGTGGTTTCTGGTGTTCCCCCAACAGGGGCCTCAAAAGTCTTTCAGCTGCAGGTGCCCATTTTCCTGTCCTGCCCTGGCCCCACTTGTCGCATCTGCTGCCTACGACATTGCTTGGAGAAAGTACTGCTTCGCTGAGCTGTAGGGCTGCCTGCCTGTCACAAGTAAGCGAGTATCTGGCCATGGGTGCTGCCTCAGTGTCCTCCTAAGCTTCCGATCCTTGGGGGGCAGAGTGGTTTAAGCAGCAGGGGGACCGTATCCCCCAACTCTGTGCCACACTTTGTCACCTGGGCAAAGCCCTTGAGATGCAAGGTGCTTGTGACCAGAGCTTGCCTGAAAAGCCCCCCTGTCACATGGGGCCCTCACAATGTGCCACATTCATCCAGAACCTCCTACAGCTAATTGGGCGAGGCGTCCCCTCTGCCTGTGACAGCAGCTCCTCCTAGGACAGCAAAACCTCAAATGACAGGTGTGCTGCAGGTTTCTGGAAAATTCAAGTTTCTAATTAAAACGATTCCTTTAAATTTCAACTCTTGCTGGAAAAATCTTCCCAAAATGCCTACCTGTACTGTCCTGTCTTAGTAAACCCAATGCGGTGGGTTTACTAAGCTGAAGCAACTGTTTTTCTCCTTCTGATGTGGTATTTCAGTATTTGAAAGGCAATTATTAATACAATGTGTATAGAAACAAGTGTGAAAAATAAGGAAGTTAGGGCTAAATATGAACCGAGGCCAGAAAATTCTGCAATTAAAAAAAAAAAACCTAGTTATTTTAGTTTTATTTTTTATTTTTTTGCCTTTTATAAGCTAAGAGGAATATATCTGCTTGACTTTGAGCTCCAGACACACGGCTTCACTCTTGTGACTGTGTTAGTGCCCAAAGGCCTGAGACGTTCCTTTGCTGTAGCGGAGAGGACGTGCACTAATGCTTCTGCCGGCACAACCATGGGTTGTAAGTCTCGGAGGTCTGACACAGGAAATTAGAGCCCTCGGAGCTGTACCAGCTGGGGAGAGAATCCAGGCACTAAGGACAGCACCACGGTAGATGGAAGGCTGAGTCAAACCATGCTGGCTCCCCATGTCATCTCCGGTCACTGGGTGCGTCTGGGGAATGGCGCCAGCTGCATGTCGGGGCTGCCGCTTGCCCCTCTGAGGGGTGGTGTCAGCAGGACCACAGAGCTGGGCAGGTGCTTCACTGCTGTTCCTCGTCTAAAGCTTCTGTCTTGCGAGGCTGTCCCATTTCTGGTCCTTTGGTTAGAGGCAGCAGGCTTTTCTTGGGGCGTTTGCTGTCGGCGCTTGTTGGGGTTTCTGGGTTGCTGTCTTTTCTAGCACCCAGTCAGGGTTATATGAGGTAAAAAGGAAATTCGCCGCCACATCATTCCTGGGGTCCTGAGGTCCCCAGGACTGCCTTCTTCTCTTTGTCGTATGTTTGTTTTCCATATAATGTCTAGAGTTTTAAGCTGTACTTAGTGGGAAAAGTCCATCTAGTCCATATTTCCAGACAATAACTTCATTTTTTTTAAATTGGGGAATTGGGGGAGGGGGACAGTGTCGGGAAATTGGGGAAGGTGACCAGCCAAGTTGTTCTTCAATCTTAGTTGTGGAGGGAGCCAGTCGCAATTCTGGCTGCCCGTTGGCAGCCCATGTCCTCTAAGCTCAAGGTGCTGTGCTCAATCTTAGTTGTGAGTGGGCGTAGCCACCATCCCATGCGGGAGTCGAACCGGCAGCCTTGTTGTTAAGAGCACAAGGTCTATCCACTGAGCCATCTGGGTGGCAGCTCAGCTCAAGGTGCTGAGCTCAGTCTTAGTTGTGGGCGGGCATAGCCCACCATCTCGAACAGGCAACCTTGTTGTTAGAAGCACATACTCTCACCAGCTGAGCCATCCTGCCACCTGTTGGCAGCTCAGCTCAGGTGCAGTGTCACTGGTCCATGTGCGAATTGAACTGGCAGCCCTGTTGCTCAGAGCTCGTGCTCTTAAGCTAACTCTTAACCAACTGAGCCACGCGGCCAGCCCAATGACTTCATTGTTACCCAGGGCTCCTACAAAGAATGATTTGCCTTGATATCTAGATAACTTGCACGTTTTGTTTTTGGCTTTGCCTCCTTCAGAAGCAGTCCTGAGGGTGTTTGCTCATATTACCAGCAGGGCGCTTCGAAACCAGGGCCTCGGGGTGCCACCAACACCTCCTTCAACCCTCTTTGATTGAATGTATGTCATTTAAACCTGTGCCCATTGTAAGGAAAGCTCGCTTGGGCTGTGCTAACAGCGGAGTGAAGCTGTGAACCCCAGGGCTCAAGAGGCAGTTGCCAACTGCCCCAACATTCGGAGCGAGGTGGTCTCAAGTTATTATCCAACTTACTACATTGGCATCCACGTCCTCAGCTCCCAGCATGCTGATGGGCTCATTTAAGATACCATCCCAGAAGTTCTCTGCAGAGACTAATGTCAATTTTGGAAGGCACAGCAACAGGAAAGGCATTTGGAAAAGGAACCAAAACAAAAAAACAAACAAAAACAAAAATGGGAATTAGATTTACGGCATTTTCCCTGGTCCTTTTAAATAAAAACGCATACGTCATCAATAAGACTTTACATTCATGAAATGATCTAATATTCAACTTGGGGATGGTAATAAAATAGGAATAAAAGGGTAAGGTTCAGTGATTGGCTGACTTAAGAAAGTGAGTGTGCGTTCCTGGTGGCTAGTGAAGGTTTATCTGAGAAAGTGACATTTCAGGGAGTCCTGAATGAAGCAAGGGGGCAGGCAGGCAGGTAGCTGGGGACCAGCGTTCCTGGCAGGAAGCTGGGAGGTGCTGAGGCCCTGAGGTGAGAGTAACTGGAAGCACGTTGACGTATCTGACAGCCTTCAAGAGGCACAGTATTCCTGGAGAGGGGCGAGCGAGCTGAGGGAGGGTGGGGGGAAGGGAGGAGGCGGAGGGGACCTCGCAGGCTGTGGAAAGGACTTTAGATCTTAGTCTGAGAGATATTTATTCTGAATGTGACTTTCTGTCAGACATCCTGAGAAATGTTTCTATCTCCTGCCAGTTTTGTCAAAAATTGCCAATTTCCAGAATTGCATATGGCTCATAATTGCTAATTCAAGTATAAGAGACGAATCCCCAAGCCAGTGAGTTAAAAAGTCTGTCGGAGCTAGTGAATGCCTTTGAAAGTCCTGATCCTCCGCCAGGCCCCCACCATGCTGAAAGACAGACAACAGAGCATAGTCCCTAAATGACTGTCTAACAGGATGGGCCTGGTTCAGGGCAGGGCGTCTGTTTCATGGAGTGATGTGTGCGAGCTGGGATTCTGCCACCGAAGGATTCTCCCTTATCCTTTCCCCCCACAGGCTCCAACTAACCACTTTTTAAGAAAAATATAATAAGCCCTTTAAGGCGCCATTGGTAGCGGCTCCAACTACCAGGGTGCCACTGGAGGAGCCCATGTATCTCAGTCAAGTCCTGCTGCACACTGGACCCTTTTTAAAAGCGGGAGCCCCTATCCCAGTGTAGAGAGATGGACGTCTGGTCCTGTCCCAGGTCATGCTGTCTTGCTCCAGAGACCCTCTCTCTGTTTCTTAGTCTATCTCCCTTTCCAGGTTCCAGGGCTGTGTGCCTAGCATGTCCCTGGGTCCTCTCTGGACTTGGTACAGGCTGGACCACCGAGGCACCCACCCACCCGGGGCACCAGCCCCAGCCCTGGACCCTGCGGGGAGCAGGGATGTTTGGATATATTATGTGGGACTCTCACCCTTCTCTTCCTCTTGTAGTTCAGTGATAATATGCTCTGAAAAAGAGTAGGAAAAATTATTAATGGAATGTGGTATGGTGAACTAGTCCAGACCTGTGGGTCCCTGAGGGAATCGATTTAAAATCACCTCCTAAATGTCTGGGGAGACCAGGGTGGAGATCACGTGTTCTGGGATAAGAAGCTTCCACGAGCTTTAGCACTTGGAGGCCTATAGTCTGTCGCTCAGCAAGTATTGATTTCTCTCCCTTTGTTCATATTTCATCCTGCCCACTAGCGTTTAAGTTCTGAGAGGCTGTGAGGGGTTTGCCCAGTGTACCGCAGGTGTGCAGTAAGTGTCACAGAGCGAACTGAGTGTGGATGCCCCTTTACCTTCCCTCCTAACTCCAGTGGTAAGTGCTGTTTCCTCCCCTTTCAAAATCCAATTTTAATTCAAATTTAAAAGCACGCTATCCTTTGGCTTAGTTTCTTAGAGCCTTGGACTGTGACACCAAGCCCTAGAAATAATGCCTCAGCCACTGGCTGGCCTTACTGATGGCTGCCTAGCCCAAAATGGCCCAAAGAGGGCTCTCTTTGGTCAAGGGCAAGCCAATTCTGTGCCTTTTACCTTCTCGTGGATGGATGTGTAACTTCTGCAATCATTTAAAATCATCATAAAATTATAAAATGAAAACGGTACCTTCTAAGTCCGACTTGAAGGTGGGTAGTATCGGTGCTGAACTCTCTTTTTCTGCTTTTCGTTTTGATTTTCCAGGTGCTGTTAAACGACAGAAGAGGGTGGCCGTTCATAGTTTTAACATCACACTTCCGGTGGGCCCATATTGGACGTTTAGGGTCTGAGGTTCTTTCTTTGGCACCCGAGGCAATCACAGAGGGGAGAAGTGGCCTGGAAGGCACTGCGGCAGAACTGGATGTTTCCTGTGCCCCGCCTCTCCTCTAGGACGCAATGAACCAGTGGTCAGGAAATGGAGCCCCTCGGTGGCCCTGTCCTCTGGTCACTGTGGGGCCAGTTGGGGTCCCCAGGATAGACAGGATGACCGGGGGCGAGGGCACGCCTTAGAGATACCCTTCCTTCCATAGGAAGAATAGCTGTCGAAACACAGTCAAGTGGCTCAAAGGCGTGTAGACACATAGTGGGAAGCGCCTGTCACGGGAGGAAGTGGGCGTTTCTGGCATGCTCGCTCCCCAAAGCCGCATGATGGGCGCTGGTTGGGAAGCAGGGGCCGTCTGGTTAGATCCCCTGAGACTCACAGCGGGAGAGACTGTCTTTCTTGAGACCTCGTGTAAGTTCTTGGTGACCCTTATTGTGTGTCTTCTGGAATTCTGTGGTCCCTGCCCCTTTTTGCCTCCCTCATCCCCACCTCTCCGTCTTCCTGCTCCTAAACACGTGTGTGCATGTGCATGTCCACATGCGCACACACCATGTTCTGTGCTCAACAGCAGAGAGAAGCAGGCCCATGATGAAAAACCACAGGCAAACTGCCCCGTGGGCTCACGGGAGCATCGGGATTTGGGGGCCGCGGTACTGGGACCGGATGCCTCCAAACACTGGCGTGCCTGCCGGTCCTTCTGCCGAGCCCGAGCCCTCTACAGACAAGGAACTGTCCAGCTTTTAAGAAAATACGTTCCACCATGGCATGGCTCTGTCTGTTAGGAATAATTTGTTGTTTTTTTTAAACTTATTTCCCTGAAGCTAGTCCTGTGCTTCAGGGAAGTAAGTCAAGAAATAAGTTCTGGGTTTTGTGTGGCAGGTCATCAGACATTCAAAGGCAATTATCCTATCTCCGAGTCACGTGTCTTCCAGACTCAACACCCTCTGGGCTTCCACAGTCCTTTGTATGATGTCGTCCCCAGGTCTGCCTGCTCCCACCCTCTCCTCCAAGCCCTAGCCAGTCTGCTTCTAGCCCTCATCAAGTGCAGTGGCTCCCAGACTGGACAGCTGTCCCTGGGCTGGTCCCCCAGTGCAGCTAGAGTAGGACTAATCCCCCTTTGTAGCATCTTTCAATTATATGTGGTTATATTAACTTCGCTGGCAGTCACATCCGTCGTGCCATTGACTTACGGAGCTTTGGTTGAATAAAGCACCGCCTACAAGCAGGGCTTCCCCACCTTGTGGGGGCCCAGGAGCAGCCTCTAATATAAATTACCATTCTATTTTATCTAGCTAGCTCTGGTGCCATGTTTCTGCCTGTGAAACTCTTTTCACATCTGATTACCTTATTCCCATCACCCAACAGGTTTAGGTCATCTACAAATATAACCTTCCTGCCACATCTTTATCCACGTCTATGATGAAATGTGGTGCTGGACAGAGCCCTGTGGCTCCCGGCCGGAGACGGGGTTGACCTGCACAGCGTCTCTGGGTGGTCATTCAGCACTGATGGCTCCATCGTCTCACATTAGCATCCACCTGATGTTTCTCTTGTCCACAGGAATATCAGGAAGTCTTTGAAAATGAAATGCCCTGTGGAATCTGGGCCTGCTGCCTCACCACCATTCCCAGATCTAATAACTTGGCCAAAAAGTGAACGGAAAGCCAGTATTATTTATTCTTATTGATCCGAGGCTGGTATCTTGTGGTCATTTTACTCTCATCATTTGCCCCAGATTGGATGCAGACTTGTTCCCCCAATTCCTTAAAAACCATAAACATGACGAAGCGATTCTCTCTCTGTATCCTGGGGTGTCTTTTCTCTAGGTCAGTCTTTTCACCAGTCTTTGCTTTGCTTCCTGCTATTTCTTGCCTAATTTTGTTGCGCCCTTTTCAATCTGAAGATCATTTTCCTTCACGGCGAAGTCAAAATTAAATAGCAATCAAAGGACATGCTTTTCTCTCAGTCATTCCTCCACCTGCATGACACAGTGGCCCGTATTCTTTTTTGCCTCGATATTTTACGATTCCCTTCTTTAGTTGCTGCTTGCAGTATTGTTGTTGCTGTTATTCCTCCTCCTCCTCCTCCTCCTCCTCCTCCTCGGTTTTGGTAAGAATACATTTATCCTGGGCTTCAGCTCTCCTGACACTATTCTTAAAGTTCAAGCCATTTTCCTGCATCCGTCATGGGTAACACTCTCATCTTTTGAACCTCTGCATGTGATCTTTCAAAACCCGAGTCCCCTGAGGGACTTTCCAGCCCTCTTCTCCATCTGGCCGGGGCCTTGGAGTAAGTTACTCCACTGACAGCAGTCCCCTCACCCACGTTTCTATCCCTATCGTATCTCTATGTGCACATTTCCCCCCACACTTTCTCCCAAGGCTGCTTTTTGGGAGTAGGAGACACCCTCTCATCACTATATCTGCTCTTGAATCAGACGAAGATTCGACAACAATTTCACAAGTATTTAAAAATATTTGTAAGTTTTCACAGGGTGCCAGGCCCCGAGTCTTGGGATTTCTACAAGCGTGGACAGACTGCTGTGTGTTAGGACTTCTGGGTACTCGGTGTATGACCCTGCTCTCTGCCTGGATAGGGGGACACATGGGGCCCTAAGTAGTCTTCTGCACCCCTCAGGACACTTCCTCACACGGGTCACGAGGCATTTCTGGTGCCTGTAGCATTCCTTCCATATCACACCTGCCACTCTCTGTAGTAACAGGTTTCAAGGCTTTATCTGGGTGTTTTTCCTTCATATTTGATTCAAAGTCTAATTTGTCGAGAAGGGCTTTGCCGTATAAAATGCTGTTTTGGACCCACTGGGTTTGAGCAAGTCCATGATAAAAAATGAAATTCATCCTGACTTAAGCTTCTGTGGTTCCCCAAGGCTCCTGTGCCTGAGAATCCTCTAGGGGGTCTTGTTAAAAATGCAGGCAGAGTCCTGATAAAGGGGCTGGGAGCTGCATCTTTACAGACCCCTGGCAATGGGGATGCCCAGTCCTGGGGCTCGCGGACCAGCAGGGACAACACCTGCTGTCCTCTCTGCCTGCCCCTCCTGGCCCTCGGCCCACACTCCCAGCACTTAGGATTGCTTTGCCTTGATTGTCTGTGTTTCTCCAAGTGCATGGGTCGCGTCTGCTCTGGACCGAAAGCAGATTCTTTTTTGGGTCTGCTACACGGGGGAATCCTTAGTGTCCTGTACTCCATCTGCAGAAGGATTGGCTTTCCTTACCTCCTCTGGACACGGTTTTGAGCTCTTCTACCTTTCTGGAGATCCACACTTCTCCTCCTGCACCCTTCTGTCACTTTCTCCTATAACTATTCATCGTCTCAGAGAAGTCTGTGTGCTCCTTTCATTGGTCAGATATAATCATGTACCTATTACTGGCAAGGTTTGCCCAATTTATTGCCAGTGTGCTCCAGAGAGATAGATTGTAAGCCGTAGGTAGAAGGGAAAAGAAAAACCTCCATGAATTTTAGGGAATTGCTTGCTTTTCTTTGTGTTTCCATCTCTGAGGTAATGGCCACCCCCTCACAGAACTTCGGCAACCTGGGGCGTGTCACGGATCCTGGTTTAGAAGCTCCAATACAGTCCCCACCTTCGGTCCCAGCTACTCACGTTGCAGCATTTGATCAGTAAGCATTCACAGTGGGTGGCTAGACGTTTACGAAACATACAACACATGTTGGCTTTAAGGAACTCAGTGCTGGAAAGACAACTGCAAAACATGCCCCTACAGAGCAAATATGCAGAGTGCTTCAAACTTAAATTAGAGACAGACATGACGAGCCCTGCAAATGACGCTGAGAGGCCAAAGGGTCGTGACTGAGCAGGTCCAATAAAACAGTCGTTTCCGGAGGGCCTCTTTCTGGAGGTGTGCTCACAGAGGCCGGACACGCCCAGGAGCCCTGCCTGCACCCTGGCCTTCTCCTCCCCGACAGCCCGTCAGGCTCAGCGCTGGCCCTTTACAGACTTTCAGGATCCCGCTCATGAATATTTGGATAAATGCTCAGGTGCGTCCCGGTTGGAATGCTTACTGACTTTGAAATGGTTCCAGTTCTTGGGGCTCCACCGGAGCACTCAGGCTGGCAGAAGTCGCACGTGAACCGGGTTAGCCTGTGAAACACTCCTCGTCATGCGTGTCACCTGTGCCACCAAACTCCTGGCTTGTGTGGGCTGCCCTTTGCCTCTCCATTCTCCCTCCTAGGGTTTCTGGCTCCGAATCTCATTTAGCCACGTTTGCGCTATAAAGCTGAGCAGGCATAGATGGGGGTAGGGAGGTGAGGTGATGGGGAAATCTAATTTACTGCTGCCGTGACTACAGATGTGAAACGAATCTATGAATCCCTGATGGGTCAATCTTACTAAGGCTGAGTTTACATTATTAATAGGCTGAGAAATGCTGTTCAGTGTTCCATGCCCAGGAGCCCAGGGTGAGGGGCCTCTGGGCTTAATTGGCTTGAGGATTAAGACCCGCACTGCAGTTCTGCCCAAGTCTCTCATGAGTGTCTTCCGGGGTGGCACCGGCATTCACACTAGGATGGTTTGGGCTGGACCTGAACCAGGGCTGGCTTTGCATGCTGTCACAGAGAGTCTGGGGTGGGCCCAGGTCGCATTCACCGCTGCCCACGTGATTACCTGGATATGGCCTGTCACCCTTGGGAGCCGGTCTGTCACCTGGGAAGGAAATGGCCTGTGGTGTGGGGGAAGTGGGGCCGGTGCTCATGCAGAACTAGGACAGGAAGACTAAGAGACAGGGACAGACTGAAGGAGGGATTTGTGTCAGGGCGTTGCTGACGCTTTTTCTCTGAGGTGGGTCTGGGGTGGGTGAAGCGGGTAGCAGGACTCGTGGAGGAGTTTAACTTCTTACCCACAATATGACTTCCAATGGCACAGGAAGCAATATACATCATTCGCATGAACGACAATACTTAGGCCCCGGTGTTCCCTGTACATGGAATGCATTCTGCCCCCACGCCCCAGAGAGCCCAGCCGTGGGTGGGCAGCAGGCAGCAAGTGCAGTTCCCTTACCCTTGCTCTCATAGAGCCATTCTGTCTGTGTGCCCTGGTCTTGCCAGCCCCGAAATTCTCCATCATCCTTTATGAAGGACGTAGAAGGCGCCACGTCATAGTACGGAGGCTCTCTGGCAGATTCAGAGGTGGGAGGAGGGGCCGTGAGGAAGGCGGTCACCTGAGAGACGCCAGCAGCTGGGATCCTGTCAGAGGGGGGCACAGTCACCTTCTAGACAGGGGCCAGGTGAGGAGCCCAGTGCTATGGCTGCTGGGAAGTTGGGCCACAGGGTGGTGGCTGCCCTGCAGCTCCTGCTGGCTTCTGCCCATACCAAATGGTAGACGTCACAAGGCTAGAAAGGACCAGATTGTGGATTGTGGGAAATAGGACTGCATGCCATTTGGGGAGGCAGAGCCCCATATTGCCAACTGCTGCTTCGCTTCTAGTGAAAGAGTGTGTGGGTGCCTTCAAAGGCCAATGACCAGGCTTCCATAACTGACAGTCCGATATTCCAAACATTCTCCATCCTTTCTGGCTTAGAGCCCTGATCATTCCGGTTGCCCTTCCTGCCTCACTGCTGCCTCAGGCAGAGTGGAAAAAGTACCAAAGGAGACATCGCAGTAGTTTAAAATCCAGCACTGAGGTCTGCCCCTCGAGTCTGCCCATTGAGAAAGGTGTCCTTAGGGCCTGAGGACAGGGCGTTGGGTGTGAGGCGCGGGCCCTGCCATCTGGTAGCTCAGGATGAAAAGGGAGAACCCCAGCACAGCGACCCCCACTGTGTCCTGGCTCAGGAATCTCTGACTTTTAACGGGGGGCAAGAAACTGTAATTAAAAGGAATGAGAGGGGTTTTGGGGGTGTTTTAGCCCTGAGGTCATCTCAGGTAAACTGGCCCAACTGTTAAAGACAGTCATGAGGGAAACTGCCCAACATATAAATGGGCAGGAACTCTGGATGGTAGAAAAACAGAGACTCTGGTGTCAGGTGACCTGAGCTTAAACCTCGGCTCTTGCACGACAGGGAGTGACTTTGGGTAATTTACTTAACCTCTCTGCACCTCAGTTTCTGCACCTTTTGGATAATCATACCCCCAAGTTGTAACGTGTGGCTTCCTTACGCGGCGGAGCTGGGATTTCATTTCTATTTCCACCATAACCGAACTTCCTGTGCTTTCTTTGAATTGAGTGTCCACCCCCTTCCCCAGGGAGATAAATGACCCCTCCCTCTCCCATCATCCTTTGGGGAGGGATTGCAGGGGGCCGAGATGCAGGGACAAGGACTGTGGATCAGAGGTCTTGTGTGCCCCACACTGGTTCCTAGAGCTGTGCACACATAAGGCGTTTCTCATTTATTCTACAGGTATGTTTTCCACCGTCTCGCGTGTGCCTAGCCCTGTGGCAGTTTAATGGATACCCTGAATGATAATTTAGACCTTGGAAATTGCCTGAGCCAGGAAGACTGCAGCTCCTCTCCAGGCCTTCATTCATCCACTCACCACGAGCCCTTTGCTTTCTCTCCCCAGCTCAGACCGTCTCTCCAGACTCGGTCACCCCTGCCCTTTCAACTCTGTCGTCCTGGGTGCCAGGGCTCTGACTGTGGGACCCGCCCCTCACCCTGTGAGTGACTGAGTGGCAGAGGGGAGCAGTACTGGGAGGTCCTTTGTGTGTGACTTCCAGGAGACCCCCCCATTGAACCCCTCCTTCCTCAGGGGACCTGCTCCCTGCGCCCCTCCTCTCCCTCCCTCCACTCCCCATCTTTGGAAATCTAAAAGCCCCTCAAGCATCAATCCTAAGTGTGAATTTCCACCTGAATTATCCAAAAAGAAAACTATTACCTGGCATTAAGATTAGGTGGAGTCTGTGATAAAGGAGCCACCTTGAATTCTGTTGGGAATAAGAAGAGAAAGACAATATTGGAAAAAAAGAAACCATCTTTTTTTTCTATTTAAAAATGTGTTGTTAAGTATATGATGCTGGGATTGGGGTGGCGAAGCCCTGATTTATAGAATTATTTTATTTTTACTTTTCCTCAGCACTGTCTCTCTAAATGGTTTCCTTTAGAAATTATGAGGTTAAAATTTTACAAAATTAAAGAAAACTCAAGAAGAGAATTTTCATGAAATCATGATTTTGGGACTTGAAGTTTGCTGTGTTCATTTTCTGGGTTATCACAGGGGCCTCCCTGTGTCACGGGATGAAGGAGAGGTGATTGAGGTGCAGAGGATGTAAATAGTTTAACAATTATCTTTAATTTTGAAGGACCTGCCTGTGTCTTTTAGCCACCTGACTGCTTGCCTCGAATGATGACATCTAGAATTTCATGTACAATTGGGATAAAATATGCCATCAATTCTAGTAACAGGAGGGTGGCACAGCGGAAGTAGTAAAGAAATGAGGATCAGAAAACTTGAATTTGAAACTTAAATGGTCAACGCTTACACGTATCCATAGTTTACCCATTTGACAGAACATTACTGAGGAATAGTATTTGGCTATTAAAATGATGTCTCCCCAAATTAAGCAACACAGGCAAATATTGAAGTCACATACCATTAAAAAAGTAAAATACAAACTTGTATATACAATATGTATAAAACAATAAAACAGTAAAAATGAAATAAAACAACAAAACAAGGACCACTACCACCAAATATGCAAAAAGTAAGGGTGGGAGGGACAGGCTAAAAATCACTAAAATGTGAATCAGCTTTATTTATATTTTGATGTTGGCAGGTTGGGTGATATCTTTCTACTTTTCAAATTTCCCACTAAAAATGAACAAAAGTAGATTTTATTTCTTTTTATGTCACTCTTCTAAAATTAAAGTATGCTCATTTGTTAAAAAGCAGAAGCAAAGGATGAAAAGAGGGGAAGGAGAAAAGAAAGAAGTGATTAGAAGAGAAAGAAGAGAAGGCTTGGAAGCATGTCCTGCCTCCTCTAATTATTCCCCAGGACATTGGAGTAGTCCCCTCGTTTGTGAAGTCGGGGGTAAATAATGGCTGGGAGAATTCAAGGAGACAAAGACTGAAATACACACTATGCTATTGGACTGTGCTCCCCACCTTCTATGGGGCAAGAAACACACACAGAAAATAATGCTGTTCGTACAGGAACAGAGTAGAGGCTGGGAGGCTGGGGGGACCGGGGGCAACTGGTCCCGGGGTTCAGCAGTTCAGCATCCCCACCCCCCCACCCCGCCAGGCCCCCTTATTGCTGATTCAAGGTGCGCTGTTGGGAAGCTTTGCGACAATCTGTGAGCTTCCCTGCTTGACAAGCTGGCTGGCTCTCCTACCCCTGCCTTATCAGTATATCTTGTACCTTTCTTCTAAAATGCACAGACTTTCCGGGTTGTCTGTTGGAAATGGTCACTGGGAGACCAGCTCCCAATTGGAAGTGGCAACTGAATTATAGCATTTAGGACAAATAACATTGAGAGCTGCTGAAGAGGAGCTAGTAGCAAGGGTAAAGAAAATCAAACCCTGGGCCGGCCGAGTGGCACGATGGTTGAGAGCTGGCTTGGGACGCCAGAGGGCCCCGGTTCGGATCCCACATATGAGGGCCAGTGACACTGCCCTCTACAGCTAAGATGCTGAACAACAGCTCAACCTGGAGCTGGGCTGCCATGAGTTGCCGGCGATGGCGTAGGCTGCAGCCCCTGCTGCAGTGGGTTGCCATGGGCTACCGTGTGTAGCCAGCAGCCAGCGTGAGCGGCCAGCAGCCGCAGTGAGCGGCCGTCCAGAAGCCGGCGACTGATCTGCCTCGCCCGGGAAGAGCGCAATGATGGTGCCAACTTGGGCCAGTGAAGCAACGTCCTCCACAACTAGACTGAAGAACAAAAGGACAGCAACTTGTCTGTTCCCCTTTCCCCAATTCCCCGATCTGTTCCCATCCCCCAATTCCTCAATAAAAATCTTTAAAAAAAAAAGAAAATCAAACCCAGCAGATGATGTGTCACAATAGGTTGACACAAACACCACGCTGGCTCAGAATCCATATAGGTGACATCTCTGTGGCATTATTTACCACAGAGTCGAGTCATCTTTAGGGAGGGCTTGGGTTCTAGAGAAACAAAAGGGGCCTCATTACAGGGCGGTTTCATGTTCTGTGACAGCATGGGAGTAACGCAGATAGTGCTTCTTCCTTCTAGCACCTTCCTGCACCTTGTGAGATCAGAAGAGTGTTTCTACACCGTACAGTTAATTGTATGGTGTGGGGAGCTTTCAAAGCATGTTTAGGTTAGTTCTTTGTTTAAAAATTAGCACAGCCACACTGTGAAGGAAGGTATTTTTACACACGGGGAACTGAACCTTAGAGAAAGTAAGTGACATTCATGCTAAGGTCAAAGTCCCCACCGTGTGCGAGATCTGACTCTGACCCCACAGTGTTTATAAACATGTTTTACAAAAACTATTTGGAAACTCCTGGGGAGATCAGCCTTATATGGTTAGTGATTATTCAGTGGCAATTGATGCTGCATTTGTATTCAAGTTGCTCGTCTAATTTTACTGGGTTTCCCCACAAACCCTGGGGAAAATCATCCCTTTGAGGAAGAGAGTGGGTGGGAATTGTCAGTCTGCTCTACCCTGATTTGTCCAGTGCAGTGGGAGTCTCTCAAATGTACATGCCTGCGGGGTCCCTGGGTAGGTGGGGGGCACAGATTCCTCCCGCACACTAGTTCGTTGCATCTCCTCTTGTCTTTTATAATGTCCATTTCACACGGGGGGCAGATACCCCCGGGGGAGTATAAACTGCCCTTCACAAGTCAGTGGGAGGGGAGTGATAATGGCTTCCCCTTGAAGAGGCGTCAAGTGCTGTGTGCCTGGCATAGCTCAGGATGCTTTACATAATTTAAACCCTTTAGTCCTCACAAACGTCCTATAAAGTGGGCCAACGGTTATTCCTAATTATAGTTAAGAAAACCGAAATGCAGAGAGGTTAAGTGACTTACCTTGTACCTCTAGTAAGTGGGAGAGAACTGGCACACAAACCAGGCAGTCAGGTCCCGAGAGAGGAAGAAAACAGACTCTTACGTGCCACAAATAGACACACAAATGGCACTTCTGCTCCCCCAGCGCCTGGCCTGCGGCAGACATGGCTAGTTGATCATGGCACTCTTTCCTGCTGAGCCCAAGTGGGGCCTCAGGATCCTTCCTGACAGCGCTCCCCCACTAACCTCTCATAATCAGTCCATCAGCATGAGAGATGGAAGCCCATCTGTCATCTCTAGGGCTCATATTATAGGCGCCAACTAATTTACAAAGCTGTTTTAAAAAATAAACATGCACGTGTGTGTGTGTGT